CCACTGCCCCAGAGTCCAGTAGGGCAACCAGGACTGAAAGAAGATGGATTTGACCTGGGACTAGGAGGTGGACATACATCTGAGGGTTCTGAGGGTCAGGTTTACTCCAGGTTTCCGTTATTGTGAGGGTGAAGGGAGTTTGTGTTGATCACAAGCCACCGCCCCCACCACCACCACCTTACCAGGCTGAGGGTGGCTTGTGTCCCTTGTTCCTTCACATGGGGCAGTGGGAACAACTTTTTTCCTCCCTCCATTCCTGGAGATAATAGTTTGAACTGCCAGGACCATGAAAACATCAAACCCTGAGGGCAGTTCCACTTGTACCAGTTCATATTTACTTCTTCTCCCAGTGCCCACTGGAATTAGTAGAGGTGGGTGTCTGCTCGACTAGTGGAAAAGAGAGGCATAGATGACAGCAGTACCCTGCCCCTTACAAAAATTCCTTAACTTCCACTGCCCAGGCCTGGTGAAGGTCATTAAACATCAATAATTCTTGAAGGAATGGCCTCCTCTTGGAGGACTGGGTTGTCATGCACCACCATTAGGAAAGCCCAATTCATCCCTTGCCAGGAAACTTATGAGGAGGCTCATCTTGGCTTGGTCCTAGAGTAGGTTTCATGTTCAGCTGGGAACAACAGATGGCACTGAATAAGAAGTCCCCTGAAGTGCTACTGGTCCCCACTGTACCTTTAGGGTAATGGGAGAGGGGCACAGAACTCCCCTGGATAGGGCTGGAATGTAACAGCCTCCTCCCACAGCCATTGTGCCTCCTCATACCAGTGCTGGGTATTCTCGTGGTGGTATGCTGCCTGGGACTCGGGGATTGCTTCTTGGCCTGCAACTGCTGCATGCAGACTTCTGGTACATGTTGGGTGAAGGCAAGGTTGTTCAACCAGTCTTGCCCAACCTGAGGGTTTCCCCAAGCACTGGGACTCAGGGAGTCACAGCAGTTCATGCTGCCACCATTTACTGCACTGCCAAATTTCTGACCCCAATAGGCATCCCCTTGGACCAGATGACATGTGTCTGTGCTCTGGATTTGGCCTGTGGACCATCTCTGTGCTACTCATCTGGTCCATGGGTAGTCGTACTCTACTCATCCAGCCCATGGGGTTGAATGGAATGAGTTTGATACTCCTGCTCTAGAAGGTGCTATATGTCAGCCCCTCTATTCACTGTGTAGCTAAGACCCTAGTGACAGTGGTAATACATGCTGGTCTATATTGCTCTGGCCTGGTTTGTATTGTCCAATGATAGCCAATTCCAAGTCTCCTTATTAACTGGGTCTTGTTTCTGGAAGTTCTCCCAGTATCTCTCTATGACATTTTTAAGTTAGGAAGATTTTCCAATAATCTCCCTCATCAGTCAACACTATTTGTAGCCTTAACATAAGCAGCTTGCCTGGTGTCTCCTCCCTTCAGAGGACCACTTTCATTAGGTATTGGATTATAGAAGTCCACTTTCATACTAGCACAAGAATCAGTTAGCTGCAATATAAGTTAATATAAACGCACACCCTCCATTTATCAAACTTTAGCATGTATGAATAAGCAGTTTCTTAGTTGCTGTTCTTTATGTCAGCCAGCATGCTTTGGATCTGTGACAGTACACTCAAAATCCTACACTTTTTCCTCTAGCCAGAGGCTTGTGTGAAATGTATGCATTGTGCAGAAGTTTGCTGGTTTTGATTACGGGGGTCCCTTAACTAATGTGTACCATAGCACATTGTGGGGACTAGGAAAAGAAATGGGTGTGAGAGGCTCAAGGGTTGGGCTCATGGATCCACATTTATGTCAGTCTTCTCCTTTTAGAAGAGTCGCTTTTTATAGAATAGGGATGCAGCAGCTCAAGGAGCTTTGGTGCCCTCAGTTTTGTAATATCTGCAGTGTGTTGACTTAGGGAAAATTTCCACAAGGAAGTCTCTTGATTCAGGCTGTATATGAGGACTGAGGGGAGATTGTGCTCAAGATGAGTATCATAAAGATGCTTATTGTAAGAGAAAGATTCAATATGTATCAGTCATTTGAAATAATAGAAATAATTACATTGCAGTTATTGAGCCACTATCTCAACTTTTAGAGATATTATTTGTTTCCCTCAAAATTTATTTCCCATAAATGACATCAATATTTATATAGCAATCACAGGTCATTTTGGTGACATAGCATTGTGTTCTGCCCATCAGTAATTTATACCAATATTCTACATCAGAAGGTGACAGACATTTTAGAGGAAAAGATGTGCCTGAAAGTTGACTGTGTCCTTGAATGTAATTGACTGTGAGTGTTCCGTAATTTACAGTAATAAAAGACGCTGTTGCTACCTCCTATGATTTTTCCCTCATCACCCAGGCAGTATTCTTCAAGCAATCTGGGAGGTTCCTAAGATGATATTATTAATTTAACTGGGTGACTGCAGAATATTGGATAATTCTGCATGATGAGGTGATGCTAGAATTCTGAGATGGGGTGGAGAGAATGTTTTGTTTGCTTTTTTTACAATGTATATAAGACCTAGTCAGTGGAGTGTTCAGAGTCAGTGGAGTAGCAGAGTCAGCTTTATCACTGATAAAGCTGAGGTGTAGCAGGTGTGAAGAATAGCTTTCTCTAAAACACAGCTTTAATCATAGTTCTGTAGATGCAGTTGCCAATTCTATTCTATTCCATTCTTATTTTTTTATTTAAAAGTCTGTGATTTGGTGAGTGGCTCATACTATGGTTGTTGAGTCTATACTGGTATGGTAAAATAGAGAAGCAACCAAGAACTGTAAATTATATAGCAAATTAAATTGGCTGGCATCTTATATTTAACTCAAAATATTCTTTTGTACAGATAAAATATGTGAATAAGATGCTAAGAGTTTAGCTTTTTGTATGTGAATGACAAATCACAGAACATTTGTTCCATTCCTCATTATTTCTGCTATACGTCTAAGGTAGGGACTAAGATGAAGCCTCTGTCTTTGGCAGGGATTGGCCCTGGATACATCCAAGTACAGCTGCAATTTGCAATAGTATAACTCAGCATTGTTTGAAATAAGGAAAAGCTGCAGTAGTGAAAACCACAGTTTTTTACTGTATTTACTGGAATCTCAGATGAGGAGTTTCCCCCCAGCTCGCACTGAGGGAAAGCCCCTTGTCTTAGTTTCACATACAAAGCTGGGGGAGCAAATGGCTGTTGTGTCTCTGACTCTGGCCCTGAGCCAGGTTGGGACCACAGTCAGACCCATAGCAGCTGTCTGCCTCCACTGCTTGCCCTGTACAGATTCTGCCTCCTGCGCATCCCCCCCCACCCCAAAACTTGGCTTGAGTCTGAGCACAGAGTACATGGAAACTGTCCCCTACCTGGCCAGTCAGCAGAGCTGACACTGCTGCATGGCTGGCAGGGGCTGTGCTTCCATGTGCTGTACTCCAGGAGGGAACTGAGCCCACTGCCTCTGACAGTAAGTGCAGGGTGGGGCAGAGACTAGGGACTTGGGAAAAGGGACAGAGATTGTGGGGAGTAGTGGGGAGTGGTAGAAGCTGTGGGAAATGGGGGGGCAGGAAGGGGAATAAGTTGGGGGGGAGAAGAGGGCAAGGGGGGGACCTGACCATCCCAGCCACTGCTTTCTCTTCTGTAGTCAGGGTGGGGGTGGGGAGATGATGAATTCAAGATAGCTGTCCAATAATTAGATCCTATATTTGGAAAATTATAATGAATCTATAAATTTTCCATATATAGAATCTAATTATTGGGGGGTTCTCTTAAATTTAGGGTTGACTCAGATTTGAGTTAATACAATAGATCTTATGCTATTCGCACATGACAGACTTGCATTATTGGAGCTAAACTGATGCCTGACCTCCAGTAGTTAAGTTCAGAATAAATCCTGATTTTAAACTGAATCATATTCCTCTGACTTTAGAGTAGAGGTGTCCAGCATATGGTCTGCAGGCCAAATCTGCCTCATGAAACCACATGAACCAGCTTATAGGTTGATAGACTAATCTAGTGCACTGACTGTGGCCCCGTGTGCTGCCCATGACACATGGGCTGGACCTGGTGCCACACATGTTGCAGGCAGCACAGGGAGTCAGTTTGGGGCAGCACATGCAGCCCGGGCCCCAGACCTCCTGTGCCACATGCAGTAGGATAGAGATGTATGTTATAGACTAAATCAGAGATGCATACTCTTTTGTTTGCTTTGTTTTTATATTATATATTTATTATTTATATTACTTGTTTGCTTCCCCCAGCACTGTCCCCTCCCCTCCCCTCCCCTCCCCTCCCCTCACTTTCTGCCTG